TCTCCCAAAAGCGGTGTGTCCCACTGGGGCTCTGGGCCTGGGGAATACGGGGGTGGGGAAAGGTGAGGGTGGGCAGCAGAAGCCCAGCAGGAGCAGCAGCAGGCAGGCAGGCTGCAGCAAGGGAGCAGCAATTGCACAGAGCAGCACCTAAACCAGAGTCAGGTCTGTGAGTCAGAGAGCAGAGGTCGTTTGCCAGAGGGTATAAAAAGGATGACAACCAGGAAAAGGACATACGTGCTTCTGGGAGAAGGACAGCTTGGAAAGTATGTATGATATGGCTTTGCTTCAGTTGTGCTACAGAACTATGGAAATTGCTTGTGGCTAAAACGGTGGTGCTGGGGAAGGGGTGGAGGCAAAGGTGAGGTTTTCTACCTACCTGGAAAACTACTTCAGAGCTAAACCATGGCATGCTGGATGCTGCTGACGGGCATCTCGACAGAAGTGGGCAGCAGGGGTAGAGGACAGCAGCTTTTTGCACTGTATTGTTCATTTGTGCGTATATACATGGGCCTATAAATGCTGCTTTGTGACCTTGGTTATGGATGAAATGTGGCTTCATGCTCCTCAGAATCCTTTTGTTCCTGTCAGTTGTTTCAACACAGCTGGCGATGCCATGGAGCTGTAGAACTGGGGGCACCGGGGGTGATAATGTTGGGTGTGCTGGGCCTGGGCCACCTCTTGGGAGGTGACTGTGTGCCAGAGGCTTCTCCACGCTGCTGCCTGCTCTGCACTGCAGCTTCCATCTGTGCAGGGATGTGGTGTGCTCGTACTCAAGGAGGGGAAGGAGAAGCTCGTGGTCAGCCCTGCCTGCAAAGGCCACAGTGTGTGTGTGAGCACCACTTGGCTGCGTTTTTATGAGGTGCTACTATTGATCATGTCATCTGGTAGTGCAGGAGCAGCAGGGGAGGCCGATGGGGTCCTGCCCCTAAAACGTAACCTGCTGCTGCTCCTGTGCACGTTTCTCCCTGTGGTCATGCCTGCTGCTGGGCATCCTTGTCCCTGCGTGGGAGCCCTGTGCTGTCCCTCCCTGGTGTCCCCACTGCACACTGCCTGTGGTCTGTCTCCTCCCCTGCCCCTCCTGGTTCCTGATTCTTAAATTGTCATGTGTCAAGACTCCTCGAAGGGGCTGCTTTTTTGGCATGCCAGGAGGTGTTACACTGGCTGCAGAAGTGGTGGGAATTACCTGGGATCTCGTGCATGAACAAGCAGGGCTGGCTGGCCAGGGCAGGGCCGGGAGGTGTCTGGTGAGGGATGGTGGGTGCAGTGGCCCCTGCTGCACCCATGGTTGCTGGGGTTGCCTGAGCTTGCTCCAAAGGTCGCTCCTTGCAAGCAGTGGGATGACTTGCCCCAGAGAGGGCACAACAGCATTTTTACAGCTCGATAGCCTTGTTCAGTAGCAGGAAACAGCCTGATCTTTAACCCCCAGTGTGGCAGTGACTGAGACACTCCCACCAGCTGTCGCTTTGCCCTTTCCAGGCCACTCATCACCAAATGGGAGCAGGTGCCAGTATCTCAGATAGGAACAGCCCAGCCACACTTACGCTGCCTGCAGAAGGCTGCAAAAAGTCAGAGGCAAACCACGTGGAGACTTTTTTCCAGCTTTCTTCCCTCTTACAGCATAATTCAATATTTTTTTTTCCTCTTCCTTTAACTGCCAGGAACAAGTATTCGCCCTCCAGCAACAGGCTGTGTCTGACAGCAGGGATGTGTCTGGGACAGTCTGTAAATGGTGGGGAACCACAGGAGCTGCTGGCAGAGCCATCAACCCCTTTGCCACCTGTTATTGTTGCGGCGGTTGAAAGTAAAGAAAAACATGAACAGTCTAGTACCGAGCAAAGTACCAGTCTCTTTATTATTTCTCATGAGTATTTTTATATCTCATGTTAGTAGCAAGCAGCAGTTTTAGAAGGTTAGCAAGTAACTGTATTTTAATTGGCTATTATTTGTTAGTGATATTTTTGGCAAAGCTCAAGGCTAAAATTGAAGTTCTCGCAGGACCGAATCTAAGCACTCCACAGCTGTGTTATTTTTGTTAGGGCTTCGTAAGTACCTCTCCTATCTCGAGGAGATACATCCGTAAATTTCCCAGGTCAATATCTTCTCCCAGAGAGCTAACAGCCCCACTGTCAACCGTGACAGCCACCTACTGGCAATAGTCAGTAAAAATGCAATGCCACAGCCTATGCCTCTCTGATGTGGGTACCATGTACTCAATGGCATCATCTGAGTGCTGGGCATAGTAAAATATTTGTTCCACCATATTTCTGGTGTTTAATACTTAACTTCTGTGTAAATGTGCAACTCTGATATGAAAACAATCCCATTTCCCCTTATAGCGTTTTAACAGAATTTACAGAATTTGATGGAATTTAATGCCATCATCCTTTTCTTCAAAACTTAAATGCTTCTGCTGTTTTTCTTTTTACTCCTCTCAGCATCCTGAAACTCAGGCACTTCCTTGTCACACAGGGGTAGGGCAGGGAGTGCTGCTTGGTGGGCACCCCCACCCAGCACCCAGACAGGTGCAAGCAGGACAAACGTGCCAAAGGCGAGCAGGGGCAAGCAGGACCTGAACTGCCTGGACATGCTTTGTTAGACATCCACAGTGACCGTCGCAGAGATGCCTGAGCGCTGTGCGAGGATGTGGCCGCTGGACAGGACCTCCCTGAGGTGCTGCCTTGGGACTCTTCCCAGGCAAGAAGCAGCAGCTCGCAGTTACAGGGTCCAAAGCTCAGGCTGTTTTCTCGCTGATAGTTTCTTTGCTGAGGATGTACAGTGTGTGGGGCCTCTGGTGGTCTAGTGGTTAGGGTGCAGGACTCTCACCGCTGCGACCCGGGTTCGATTCCCGGCCC